CCTTGCATTCCCCCCGACATTGTCGAACAGGAAGCCTTGCTATTACTTTTTATTACTATTATATCCTTGCCCTTCATCCCAGTCATGAGTACTGTCTTGTGGGTCAAGCTGGGCAGTAAGGGCAGCAGACGAGTCCCTTGTGACAAAAAAGCTGTTGATTTCAGCATCGAGTTGCAACATCACAACGTGAAAGACAGTCTCCGTGGATCTCCTGGTCAGGACCATCTTCGTTCGAATTCAGACTGTACTGCTTCCTGGAAGTGTTGTAGTTCCGAGGCACGTTGTCGAAGACGGGCACGTGCTGATCAGCCTTGCTAAGGGTCTCCAGGTCCGTTAGGGGAGCCCGCTTGAGCACTCCTAGCAGGCATAGTCGCAACAAGCGATGGGATTGATTAGACAGTGACACTTCCAGGCTCTGCTGCCAACTTCAAGACATTTCAAGACCTCCAAGTCATGCCGGGCAGCGCTGGCGAAGTCGATGCCACTCTTTTCCATGTACCGGCAGTTCTATGAACGCTATGATCATATTTCTTAGGATGCAACCCAACCCCTACCGTAACCGAAACTGCAAGGCACAAACCGGGTGTATCTCAACAGCACGTTCGCCAGAGAAACTCTGTTTGTGGGAATGCCGCTCAATGGCTTTGAAACCAGATCGTTTCCTTCAAATGCTCGAGGACGATTCGTCCGAGGATGTGTAATGCTCGGTGCACTCCGGCGACGGTTCACAGGCTTCGGCTTCTTGGGCGGAGTGCTCGCTGCGATTCGCAACGACGGCTGAATCTGAACGGGTCTGCTGCTTGACGCACAGCAACACGGAGCAACAGCTTTGCGGCCGCAAGACCATGGCCCTTTGTGGTTCTGTGCTACACGTGTGTGGCAGGCCCAGGAAAGGTGAGTGCCAACGGCAATGGACAGACCATGTGCAGCGTTGACAGTTTGACATTTGACATGGAAATTCGTGTATGTTGCGGCGGGTTTCCTCGCATTAACAATACTTGGGTCATCTCTGCAATTTGACTTGTTTTACATGCTTTACATTGCCCGACGAACGGCGTTAACGTGTGTCAATGACACAGGCTTTCCATAGATGCAGTGGAGGTTGGGATCAACGGGTGTGTTTTAGTTTCCATTTGCAGCCGTTCGAACCGAGGGCGTATCTTCCACTTAGTTGTTCCCCTGGTTTGATGGCTTCGGTTGCGAAGGCGCGGGTGACAACAAACACGTTTCGTTGGCCAGCAAGCTTTGCGACCGTGATGCATGGCAAAACATTTCAACGGGATGATTCATGGAGTTATGATGTTGGACATGCGAACAGGTGGTCTTCCCCCGAGCTTCCGCCGACTGCGGCCGCTTACATGCGCAGCGCAAGATTTTGCATTGTATTTATGTGCAAGTGCAAGAATGAGTGCATGTTTTTTGCTTCTTGTGGTTTTGCGGCATTTGTCAGGAGCGCACGAAGTTGGCCATGGCATGTTGACATCCCTCGCATCAAGATCGAGAAGACAAGAGGCGTGAACGTCATCATTTCCAAGCACTCATTGCATGCATTTGCATATGCACGAGTGCCACGGCAGCGACATCCAAGTTGTGATAGTCCTAGAACGCTCGGGGCTCATTTTCAAGCACCTCTGTTGGTGTAGTTGTGTGTTTCGGAATACTTGTACCTGTGCAAAGATCTTAGAACTTAGTTGCAACAATGCCTGTGCTTGTACATACATCCGAAAACTCGATCCATGACATGATGATAGGATTCCGTGACGAATGCGGGCTTGCAAGGTTTGGACAGCCGGGACAGCTTCGCTGTCCCATCGGCAGCACCGCGTGCTGCAGACCAAGTTGTCGAAACGCAATGAAAGAAAGCAGCAAGGTTGGCCGGGAAATTGTGCCAAGGCCAATGTTCCTGGCTTTCATGGGGTCCTGTGGATCTGCGCTTTGCCTTGAGCAGAGGTTCGCTCCCCAGTCATACACCGGAATGTAAGCATGCAGGCTGACCGGGTGCACTTCGGAGCTCGTACAACGCAGTGACTTCAATGGGCTATATACGACCAATTAACTGATGGTCAGAGGATTTGCCGGCTGATCTGTGCTTGCAATGTTTGCGCATCCCGTTAGTTGACCGCCGCCTGTTTTCCGCGTTTGCCGGTGCTCAAGGGAAATGTAGGCCGGCGGGCTAGATTGTAATGTGTGGTGGTGTAGCCCGCCACTGAGCTTGCCTTGTATCGTGGCAAGGCAGTCACCGATCCCATCGCACGACCATCAGCTGTCCAAGACTGTAGACAATGCAAAATACGACAAAACAAGCTTCAGATGTGGGTGGTTTGATGCGCCCGACGGATGTTGGCTCACGTCCCTGACCTGTTTTCGGTCAATGCCCTCCACGGCACCGGAGTTGGCTGTGCCGCTTGGCAAATCGATACCCGAAAATTTCGAAGCGGTGTTCATCTAAGCGATAAGGATAAGTACAAGGGACACGCTTTTCTCTGTCCCTGACAGTCGCCACGTTGGCACTGTGTTGCACTCTGTTTGCATGCAGGTGTTTGTCCAATGATCATTGGAAATGCCGCAAGGACACATCAGCGAGATCCATGTGCTCGCTTGCTGCAGCATGCAAACATCGCAGCAATAGCAGGGAACTTGAAGTGCAATGGTGCAGGAAGCCTTGGAGAAACTAGAACGCTTGGACCAAGATGCTGGAGAACTGGCCGCAGCCTTGGTGCCCACCGCATGTGTGCCTTGAGGCCTCTTAAGCTGAGGTGTCGGGATCTGTACCAGCCCTCGAGAACTCTGATCCGGTGAGGGCAGAGGGTCTTTCTTCGAAGGGTGGATGCGGTTTGACATTTTTGGATGGTCTCAAGCAAACAACTTTTTTGCAACGCTGGTGCGTGCCGGATGCTTTCCTTCTTGGTAGCTAAGGCGAGTGCCAATCTTACAGCATGCGTCGTTCAAACGAGAGGTATTCTTCTCTTTCCGGGATTGCAACAGCGGGTTGATTCTGTTCGATTCATCTTTACATGTGCGGCCCCTGAAAGCAACCCCCTGATTTTTTTTTCTTGTCTGCTTGTTCTGAGGTCTTCTCTAGCATGCGGGCCACGCTCAGTGATGGCAACATGCGTGTGCGGCGAGCAGGTGCCGAGATATGCCGAGATATTGGCCATATTGGAATTTGGTTTTGGTTTTGTTGTTGTTTAAGATTCATGATTCGGGGTTTGGCACAGGTCCAAATAAAAAAGGATTCTTGGGTAAGTGTGTGAGAAGGTATCGTGCCTGGAGTCCGGAGGTTGCATAGCTTCAAGTAAAGCATTGGCTGCACTCAAGGTGTCGTAAGCCTTACACCCTACAGCATTGTCCGAGTTGCGAGTCCAAGCCCCGAAAAAAGCTCTAAACAATAAAACATCATTCCGAAGCTCGGACTGAGAACTCTGGAATGCTGGAAACCCGAAGTTCCAGGAAACACTTGGTGCTAAACTCTGGGCATTCAATCAAACCATAAACGATAGCTCCTATATCCTAAGCGTAAGAAACTCTAAATCCCATAATTGGGCAAGTCTCGCCTGCGTTGCTCGAGTCGCGAGAGTTCAAACCCCCAAACACCCTAAACTGCCCTAAACCCTAAACCGGCCTTGGTTTTTGTTCCAGGTGCTCATGCCTTGGCGGAGTTTTGCCTACCTGAGGTGGGCTTCCCTGGTTTGGGTTTGGGTCTCTTTGGGTTCAGGGTTTAGGCATTAGGACTCTTTGCTCTAAGGGTTCAGGGTTTGGGACTCTTTGTGTCTGTTGTGGGATTTGGGGGTTCAGTTTGGGTAGGGTTGAGTCTAGGGCCCCGAGGCTTCGGTGTGGGGGTCTAAATGGGGTTTAGCTTTTCGGGTCATCTTGGGAGCGCCCTACTTGTTGCAGCATACTTCCTCAGCCCTAAGTCCCAGGCTCCAAACCCTGTGCTGAAGGCTCTAAGCCCTAAACTCTAAAAGTAGTGAGCACGTCAGTGGGAAGAGTCTGGTGTGCCGTGGTCTTTACCACTGTACACAAGATGTTCTGCCAGAGAAGAGAGGGCGTTTGAGGGTCTGGCTTGATGCTGCGTCGTTGCTTGAGCTACACCGCCTCCCTCACCATCGGGCCTTCAATAATACACCCTCCAAGTGTACTGAGTGTGGACTGTCAGTGGAAAGTGAAATTAGTGGGATGTTGCGCTGACCCAACTAAGATGCTATGTCTTGCTGTGCACAAGCTACAGTTCTGAACTAACCCTGCCATGCGGGCTCGTCCTTGCTAAGTGGGAGGGAAAAACTCAGGCAAACACATTAAACCCCTGATAGATTACTTGAAAACGCTCGGTGAAGAGTGGTGAGTATAGGGTTTCCGAATTATGGTCATGGCATGGACATTACGTGAAGTTCCTTAGCAGGAGCCCAGAAACCCAAAGGTCTGGGGCAAGAAGCCCGCCAGCTTCGGCGTGGAGGCGGTCTCTGAGCTGCCCCTCAGCGCAGTCGGGGGTCCAGGGAGGCACATTGCGGTCTTCTCCTTTCCGGGTCCTCGTTTGAGCGGAACCATGGTTTTCCGAACTGAGAGGAACTGAGCGTATATGGGGGTTAGGATTTGGGGCAATCAGGGTTGCAGGGGCATCGGACACACTCCCCCTTTTTGCTGTTTTTTGAATTGACCTGGAGCTGACTGGTGCAAGGACTCGGCACCTTGCGGATCCAGACCTTCATGTGCGAAGGGCCCCTCTGCTTGAACAGTTCCACATCGCGCGGCGACTTCTAGCGGGATGGCTGAATGCTGATCCTCGCTCCATTTCGCGCTTATGCGTGCATCTCTGCTTGTCATGCTTGTTGCTGCGTCCTTGTATCACATCCGCGACGAAGGCTGCTCGGGAGCCTCTGCGCGAACTGCAGACGAAAGCCTTCGTGTGGCACTCGGAGCACCTTGAGACTATAGCTCTGATCCTGGCCCCTGTTTTCGTGTGCCGGATGACAGCTTGTTGCCTTGTGTGTTGGCCGAGGTCGGGGATGTTGTCGTGGCTGGGCAGTCCGCGATACCCTACCTGCAAGACGCCCATCTGCAAATCATCCATTTCTGTCCCATCCGTGCTTGCACAAGTGAGCTTCCTTGATGGCCCGGGAGCTCGGTATGACAGACTCAAAGACGAAGTCACCATGTTGGCTCCGTCGCATGCCTGCAAAAGTCACAGTGTCTGGGATGCCTTCGTTTAGCTTTCCTATCCACCCTCATCTGCAGGCACGTCTCCGTGACGAGGAGTGGTTCTGCAATGTTTTGAGGCTTCGGTGGTGTGTAAAATCAAAGGGGAGATGCAATGAGATGACTAGTTGTCTGCATCTGCAACGAATCCTGGCTTCGGCTTCCTACACCATTGAAACCCTTAACTCTCGGCGCCAACCTGGAAGCTTGCCCCAACTCGTTTTTCTGGACCCCTGGTTTCGCATGGGCAGGTAGCTCCAAATCTCAAGATCTCCGAAAGCCCAAAGCTTGATAAAGCTTGTACCCAGACAGGACTGGCAGGTGCGTGACGCCACGCTTCGAGCTCTAGGGAGCTTGGGCCCAGGGGCCTTGACGCTGGGCCGGGACCTGCACTGCCGGTAGGTGCGTGGAATTCTGGAATTTGAGGCTTCGGGGCTAAAAGGCTAAAGGATCGTTACGGAACGTTTCAGTGAGCGACTGACGAAACAGTGACTCAGCTGTGGACCACTTGCGCTGTGCATTCGCAGTGGCCGCCGCAGCAGCATGAGGAGAGGAGCAGGAGCAGCAGGAGCGGCAGGAAAAGGAGGGCTGTCGTTGCTGCAAACGTCGTTTGCGCAGCAGCACTCGCTGCGGCAGCAAGGGGGAGATGGGAGGAGTAGGAAGAAAGGAGGGAGTAAGAAAGGGAGGAGAACGGAAGGAGGAGGAGGGGCTCTTCTTGCTGCCTTTTTGCTGCTGATCAAGTGTTTGATGATGGTGACAGTAGCGGCGGCTGTGCATCTCTGATCTGTGGGTGATGCATGTTTTCGGGTTTTTTCCCGGCTGTAATTAGTTTGGGGTGGGAAGGGTCTGGGCTTGCTGAACCCTGGCAAAACAATCCGGAGGACCTGATTCGAGTTTGTTTAGCTGCAAGGAAGAGAAAGTTGATCTGGGACTGAAGGAAAGCCTTCGGTTTGTTCTACAGAAATCCGCATAGACGATGCAAGCCAGAAGTTGTCATGGGCAGGACATAGCGCGACTGCTGGCAGATGACAGTGCCGTCTGCCGTGATGCCGCGAAGTCAACCCTGGACATTGCATGCACGAGTTCCGATTTTCGTTTCGAAGGGTTGCAAGTGCCAGAACTAGTGTTTCAGGGTGCTCTTGGTGCGATCATATCGCCGTCATCATTGCTACAACTGAGCACGTTTTTCATGTCTTGGTTGGCAAGACATAGCTCAGAGGAAAGTATGCCGGGAAGAGGGAAGAGGGCTGTCTACATCTCAATCTGTATAGCCGGTAGCTTTTTGCCTCAGGACCCTCGCAAAGTCCAAGGCCTGCGGCTCCGGCCCAAAAACCCCCAGACCACCAAAAACCACCTGAAACACCTTCCGCGCCCTTTTGCATCGAAATCCCGAACGACTCGAAGGACAAGCTGCTAGGACCGGGCTTGCGGGAACCTGGCTTGAGAGGTCTGACTCCCTCTTGGGCGTAAAAGGGTCGTTTAGGGTTTGGGTTTCGATGACGACGACATACGACTACAACGAACACAAATTACGATGGCGTTATCGCTCCTCTTGGCGTTGTTGCTGCTAGTTGCTCGCACCCGTTTGAGAATTAGAAGACAATGTTTGCGATATTGAGGATGGTTATGAGGATGATCATTGTAATGGTAGTTAGCCTTCCGATCCAATGATAATGATTGACGACGACCATGAGCAGAAGGATAATGGCAATTCTCATCATCACATCGGCATCATTCAGGTCCGGGGAAGTCTCGTCGTCTCTTCCTCTTATTTTCTTCACGCTTGATCCCCATCTTGCTCTCATTTCGTGCTTTTGTGTCGAAGACGGCAGGAAGCGGGCTTGCCGCTGCTGATCTGCAGGCCCATTGTCCGACACACCAAATGCAGTGCCAAACCCGGCAGCTGGCAAACTTGCTTCTCCAACCTCGCTGGATCTCGCAGCATCAAGCCAATCCCTGAAGGTGGTGGTACCACCCAATGCCGAGCTTTTCGTCGGGCGCTTGAAGCACAAGGTGGGCTGCTTCCTCTTGGCATGTAGGCCTTGCCGGTTACGATTTTTGGTTGGAGCTCTCGGTCCAGTGGTGCCGTCGGGGCACCTCTCGTTTTTGTGGCTGATGTGGGCATTCTCAAAAATGAGCTTGTTCTGACTAAGCAGTTTGTTGAAGGATCGAACATTAAACAGATCCCAATCCAGCAAAGCGCAGCTTCTCGGCCGGCCACGCCGTCGCCTTTCACGAATTCTCAGACCCTTCGAAGTTCACCCCAACTCCGAGCCTTCAAGAACCACCAGACCCAAAGCCACAGAGCCTTGACATGCCTCGCCCTGGTCCCTTGGGAAGTCGTCCTCAAGCCAGAATCGTAACCTTCTAGGATCCAAAAGTCCGCTGTGCAGCCGCCTGGGCACTGGGCCACAGCACCTTAGCTTCACTGCTTGCCTCGCTTGCGTTCAGTCTCTGCGCTAGCTTTTGGGGAATATTCGCCGAAGGTGCCGCTGCCGTCATCGGCTTGCACACGCGTCCTGGATGGTACATCATGTTGTGGCATGAGCTGGGCATGGTAGCAGATAGTAGGACCAATCCCAAACTCAATCCCTGAAGGCCCGAGCCCCGAACCCACTCCTTGGGCTTGCGATGCGTGCGGGGCCAAAGCCAAAGTGTAAACCCCAGGATCCAGGACACCCTCGTCACGGAGTCTGATCCCGCCATTTTCCGAGTCGCAGTCGAGGTGCCACGTCTCGCGGTTTTACTTGTGTGTTGCCATCGCCAGTCCTCGTGAATGCGTTTTTAACCCGGAGAGCCTGAGGCGTGTGTGTTCCGGGGCTGGGAGCTTTGAGCTGGGAGTCGAAATCTACGGAAGTCCGGAATAGACTTCCGAGACGCTCACGCGGCTGCAGTCACGGCATAGGAAGCCTCAGGCACGACAGCTCGAGACTCTTCGGCCTCTGTTTAAACCCCAACCCTCAAACCAATCGCCGCACAAACCCTACACACCAAAATCCTCCCTGAGCCGTGGCTCTGGCTACATTGTAATATTATTTTGCAGAGCTCCTTCTAGTCATGAAACTTTAAGATGAAACAGAGATATGGTACAGATATAGGTATAGATGTAGATATATAGGTATATATATATATATATATATATTTATAGCTATAGATGTAGATACAATTTTTAAGTTTAGGGTATAGGTCTGTCCTTATCAGGCCTTGGGCTGGCTCGGCCTCGCAGCGCTCCCTGCGTCTCCGGAGTTGGGACTCGGGCCTCTCGGAGCCGCAAATTTTTTCCGGATTGAACCGGGCCTTTATGGGGATTTACAGGGGTTTTCGGGCTCTAAAAGGCTACAAGGCTGGTACTGTGGGTTATCGTACGGAGAGCTAGAGGGGTAAGGCGGGTTAATGCAGGGTTGTTGGAGTTCGATAGTGGTTTAGGGCAAGTTTAGGGCTTGGGGAATTCACGCTTATTCGAGGTTTCAGGGTATTTGGGCATGGGGTTCTTACGCCCTTGGGGATGTTTGGGCCTCATACCGTCATGGTTTTGGGCTTAGGGCTGAGCAGTTTGTCGGCGGCCCTTGCCGAGATGGCCGCATTGAAGGATTTGTCGCATAAGCCGCGTATCATGTAGTTGAGGGTTCAGGGGTTTAGGTCAGAGCTGAACTTCTGCGGGCTCGGATATTCAGGCGATTGCACAAGTCCTGATGCAAAAAAGGTCCAGGGTTCGTTTGGAGTTTGGCGCTGTGGGGTTCATGTATCAGGTCAAGATTTGGGACTTCGGGTCATGGACAGCTTCGGGTTCGTGCAGAAGTCGAGGATTGGGGTTGGGGCTTCGGGCTGCTGTGAGAGTTTAAGGTTAGGGATTCCGGATTTAGGGCCTGGGCAGCTTTGGAGGGCAGTTTAAGGTTTGGCCGGGTTCAGGACTTTGAGAGTTCGGTGTCTGAGGAGCATGCACTTTTGGGTAAAGGCATAGGGCCTATAGGGTTGACTGTGTGACCTAGGCTCAGGGATTCTGCGAGGCTTCGGGCTCGGGGCACAGGAATTCAGGGTATCTGACTGGGCCAACTGGGACCTGACACGGAGTGCCAGCACAGGAGCCCTCACGAGCTCGATGGCGTACTCGCAGTTTGCTTTTTGAGGGGAGTAAGTTGAGTATGCGAGGGAACTTGGTTGAGTCACATCCCGGAGTTTTGCTCCAATGAGATGGGTAGTCTTGATTGTAGGGCTGTCGGAGTGTGAGTGTGCATCCCCAGACTTTCCCTGGGAAAAAGGAAGTCGTAACCCGGAACGCCCTGAACGCTTAGCCGCTAAACCCTGAACCCTACATCTTGCACCTCAAACCCCAAATCCCAAGTAGATTCGGAAACAAGAACCCTTTGGCGTCCCCCTGATAAGAACTCCTGCAGAACTCTTCGGCGCCGAGGCTCAAAACTTTCCTTGCCCGGCCGAGGAGTCAGGACGGACGCGGCTGGCCGCCGGGTGGGGGGGGTTCCCTTGGAGTTTAAGGTGTAGGTCCGTAGGTGTTCAGGGGTTTAGGTGGTTTTTTGCGGTTGAGGGCGAAGGGTGCAGGGTTTCAGGGAGCGCCAGGGTGGATTGGCCGTTTTGATGGGGGCTTTAATGGTTCAGCGCCGACGGTGACGGTGCAGGTAGCCCATCATCGGCCAGACTTAGAAGGACTCGTCAAACCCAATATCTCCGAACATGGATGCCCTGCAGGTAGAAGCCTGCGCTGGAGCTCTAAATGGGGTTTCCGAAAATAGGGGACCCTAGTATAGTACCCTAAATAGTAGGATCCTTATTATAAGGACCCCAAAATAAGGTACCCTAATTGTCGGAAACTCCCAAATCCCCTCGAAGTGGTAGGACTCTCATCCCACTGCGCCGCAGGAGAAATGCCGCATGCCTGAGCTTGTGCATGGTAGGAGCTGCCTCTGAACACTAAAAAACAATGTAGATTATGTTATGTGTTATACTATACTACTATATTACTAGATATTATATTATACGTTACAGCCCACGGCTAGCAATAAGAGTTCACACTGCCCGAAGCACCATGGATTGCTTGGAAGCCCAGCCTTGGAAGGAGGGCGCTACGGGGACCTCCGACACTTCGGAGGATCCGAACAAGGCCAGCGATTTGCTGCGGAGCTGTCGGGGTTTTGGATTTGCAGGGTGTCGGTGCAGGGTGCTAGTGTGTTTTCCATTTCCAAGCAACTAAAAACGACTGGACCGGCGACTGCCCCGCCAGTCTGAGACAGCGTGGCACTGAAAACAGACTAGGAACCATCTCGTGGCAACCGTAAACCGCCAAAGACATGGACCTGCCAAAATGAAGCTCAAAGCCGTGGTGTTTCGCCAAGAACTTCATGGCATGATAGAAAGTAGTGGCTTGTTTGCCGAACGTCTGCCGATCATCTGGCTGCAAACATCAAGTGATGGATAGTCAACCTTCGTCAAGAAAAGAGATGTGCATTTGCACTTGGCTACGCCAGGTGGGCGAAGTCAAGGGGGGAGAGCCGCCAAATTTTGTGGTGCTAACCAACCGGTTTGCTTTACGAAGAAAGCACACAACTCCAACAAAGACATCGCCTGATCAGGCTGGACCCAAATCCGATCCTCAAAAAAAATGCTTGCAGCACCCGCAAGAACCTAGGACGTAGGAGGCCGTCTTGAAATTCGACAGGTGATGGCATGCTTTGGCCCCGCACTGCAACGAGCAATTTAGCCCACGATTGATTGTAAGTACGAGCAGACTCCACCCTGAGACCCTTGTGCATTCGCGATCATTTTCCGAAAAAGGTTCTGCACGCGTCTGAGTAGTCTTAGCTACATCGTCTTGGGATTTGGACAAGCGGTGAGCTTTCATAAGCTATGTGTTTGCTGCGGACACAGCTGCCCGGAAAATGGTTTCTTGCTCATTTGTTCATTTCTTCTGGGTGCATTTGGCTGGATGATCTGCTTTATAATTATGAAAGGCACACCGTCGCAAGGAAGCAGTAGTCTGCTGCCCAGCTTTGGTGTGGGAATGCACGTGAGTGATCATCCATCCCGCCGTTTATGACGTTTTATTGACCATATCGCCCACCTCTGTTTCTGCAAGTAGAAGGAAGCGATCGACTACCCAACCATTTTTAAGCAACAAGCTAAAGCCCTGGACAACCCCAAGATTGTCAGAAAACACCTCAGCAGTTGCTGCACACGGCACCAGTACGAAAATGGCCAAAAGCTCAGCTCTGTAGTTGCGCTGCTTGCCAGGCAGAACCTCTGCAAAAATAATTTCAAAATCATGCGATCGAGGGAAGGCCACAACCACAGGGGGTTCAGGGCCCCTAAACCCCTTCACAAGGGTTTGTTCGCATGAAGATCTTGCCATCGGAAGCTTGTTGCTGAGAGCTTTGATTTGAAGCATCCCTTGGCGTCAGGTGGCCATGACGGAGTCCATGTTCAAGGTCTACCAGGCCCAGCATTGTGCATCATCAGTGCCCTCATGCACGGTTTAGCGTTGCAAGTGCGAGGTCCATAGCCATGGCCGCTCTCAGTTCAAATTGTCGTTGTTGAATGAGAAGCGGAAAGCAGTCTGAGCACCGGCTGGAGCCCACAACGCTCATACAGAATTTGTTTGCGTTGCGTGGGTTGCGAGAGCCAATGCATGCCAAAGCGTTAGCCTGATCCTAAACTCCCATGCCCAATGCCCCCCACATCAAGGACAGTTTCGGGGCCTAGGCCTGTCAGGCTTTCCCCCGCCAAAAGTGTTGCAAAACCACATCTCGAGCATGCGGTTAGTTCTCAACAGTCTTGTGACTCTTTCGCGGCACTGTTCACCCATTCCGAGCGTTGATTGAGGATGCAGAATGCGAACGATGATGGGTCGGGAGAGGCTGAGGGCTTCAAGAAGCCACCCGAAAGCCCCTTCACCGACTTTACTTTACTAATTTACCGTTTACGAGCCTTGAAGACCCTTGAAGATTGCAGCACCCTTGCAGCTGGAAAGATATGTCAACACCGACACCCGAAACCCTAAACCGCCAAAAACCCCTAAATCCTAAGGCACCTAAAATTCCCTCCCCCTTCAACGAGCCCGAGATTTGGAGGAGCTACTGCTCGTCATCGGCCGCGCCCTCAGCCGCGAAGAACGACTCAACGAGGACCGTCCCTCCCTTGTTCTTCTGGTGCTGTCTGGTGCTCTATTAGAGTCATGACAGGAGATAGGTAGGTTTTTTTTATTTTTTGTTTTATTTTTTGTTTTGTTTTTTGTTTTGTTTTTTGTGGGTTTTGTAGGCATTTAAGGTTGAACATGGGCAGCCAGGTAGAGGGGGTTCAGAAAAGGGTTGTACCACGGGTTAGACGCTAGAGTTTGGGCTTCAGCCCCCGAGGCACAGCTTTTGGGCTTTCTGTTCCAAAGATCGCTCGACCTGACACCCCAAATGCAAAGCCCTGAACTCTAAATGTATACTTAACCCAGCATCCTAAATTCGACTTTGTGCTTCTGGGAAGCTACCCTGCAATGGCTCGTCCTTGCCATGTAGGAGGGAAAACCCAAACCCAAACCCCGAAGCAAAGCTCTTCTTTTTGAGAGGCGCTCATCAGGGCCCAGCACTACGCCTCAAAGCGCGGACCCCGAACGTCAAAGTGCGGGGTATGGCTGGATTAAGTTTAAGGTTTTGGTCTGTCACACGTCTACGGGAAGCTTGTGCTGTGAGTTGTGCGGTTAGCAGCAGAGCCCGGCACTGAGGAGCTTTGCATGTTGGCGATTATGCTTGTTGACTTCGGCTTGCTGGACGTTGAGATCTTGCATACTGTAGTGCGCACTTATGCACTTTACTGCGTATCCCGATCCACTGATCCAGTCTGTGCCGGATGTTCCATCTTTCAAACCCGTGAGCCCCGACTACCTGCCGCCGTGCTTGTCCTGGGCTTTTGTGAAGCTTCAGGTGCAGCCAAAGTCGCTACGTCCCAAAACAAGGCAGCAGGACCTGCGGTAACCCCCCAAAGGCTTTGCGGAGACCTCATTCACAAAAAAATGCAGCCTAGACCTGCCCTCGAATCAGAAGCTCTTTTGGCCAGGCTTGGGCGCAGCACCAACGTCCAGCGAGAAGAGGGCGTTCCTGGGCCGTTCTTGGTTTGAGGGTTGGGGGTAGGTTTTTCTGTTTGGCGCGAGGTTGCAGCGTGTCCCGCGGTCCTCTATAGATTCTAATTCTAAATCTCTGCGCGGGGGGGGGGAGGGGGGGGGGGGGGGGGTGGGG